ACAGTAGTATATTGCTATAGGAGGGACTCTTACAGGCTAAGAAGGTCAGAGGCTGGCTGCAGAGGCTAATAGGTTAGTTAAGGTGGATGCGCAGGCTTAGGCATTGCAGGCATATTAACAAGCACTACTAACCTGCTTAAGGTGCTATGTACAAGGCTATAAAAGGAATTAATGTAGAAGCAATTAGGAATATTTTTTATATATATACTTATATAGGTTTAATTTAGTTGCTGTTTAGTTATCTGTTAAAAAGGCGCGCGCGGTTTAGTAGGGTGCGCAGCTTACTAATGTCTGCAGCTTACTAATAAAACACGTTATAAGAGTTAGCATAATAATAAGCGTAAGTTAATCTAGCATGCTTAACTTATAACTTAGTGTTATTAAAATAACGCTAGCACTCTTAACCTTTTTTTTAATAGTAAGCGCACTACTAATTACCTAGTAACTGCTTACCTAACTCTGTCTCTATAATTTAGCCTACATAACTGTGAACTGCGTCTTTCTCCTTTTATAGGGTAGACCTTATAGCCTTTAGGGTGAACTACTACTTGCTATCCTCCTAGTAAACATAATGTTTACTAGTAGGCTAGTTAGCCTAAGCCTACAGCTAGCAAACAGGGTTTGCCTGTTAACCCCAGGTGTAGTATCCTTGCAAGCCGGGCACAGGCGCAGGCACCACCACAGCAGGGGGAGGAGGAGGGAGGAGGGGAGCAGCTAAAGAGGGAGGGTTGTCCCTAAACAGCTGCTAGACCTTATTATTGTTGTTGTTGTTATTAGGGGGCAGCAGAAAGAAGAGAGGAGGAGGAGGAGGAGAAGGAGGAGGAGGAGGTGGTAGTTGTAGTGGTGGTGGTAGTAGTGGTAGAGGAGGAGGAGGAGGGAGGCGGAGGCGGACGAGGAGGGTGGGAGGGAGGCAAAGGCAAGGGCAAGGGCAAGGGCGATGGCAATAGCAACTATACTAATGTTAGCAACCTGTGCCCTTAACTACAACTGCTATAAAGACAGCAACAGCAACTAATAGCTTACAGAGAGTAGAAAATGCGCCTACTATAGGTTACCCTACAGCCTAAAGCAGCAGCTGCTGCTATAGCTTAATATTTATTTTAAGTTATAAAACCTAAGGCTTCTAAAAAAGACTAAAAGTAAGGCATATTAATATTATAGTTAAAGTTAAACTTATAACATAGTGTTGTTTATATTACTATTTATTAGTTACTAGCAGGTTATATGTGTTATACTTTTACTATAGTAACTTTACTACATTTTTACTTTTACTAACTTTTAAAACTTCTGTAAACTTTTAGACTAATAAAGACCTTATAACATATAGTACTTTTTTAAATTATAGAATACTTTAAAACTTTAGCTAACTTTTACTAATTAAATTACTACAAACTATAATTTTACTCTAAATATTTTAAATATTCTAAGTGCTCTAAAACTTCTATAAACTCCTAGGCTAACTAAAGCATAAAGTAAAGAATTAAAGCCCTTAAAAAAATGCTTAGGCTAATAATGTAATTTATAATACATTAAATAGCTTTTTTTTTTATTAGTTACATATTACACTCTTTTACTCTAGGATACTAGCAAGAAACTAAGGACTTTATTTTAGTAATGTAATGTATTTCTATTTACATTTATAAATGCTGCTTAGAGTTGTAATAGCGTAGTGTTTACAGCTGCCTTATGTATATATAGCTTATTCTGCCTACTGTAACTTACATTATTGTGTACTGTTACTAGCAAACTTCTGTCTTCTAGGGGCTCTAGCTAACTAGATTAACTAGCGCTAGCAGTTAGTGTTACTAGCCTACTATTAGCCTGCTTTTAAACATCCTAGAGAACCTAAACTGCACGCTAAAAAAAGTTATTTATAAGACTTTATAAATATGTAACTTTTTAAGTAGGGCTTAATATAATTACATAAACAACACTACATAACATGTTGTTTAGAGGTAGTATCTTTAGTATAGTTAGGGTAAAGGCACTTATAGTTGTACAGGTATTATCTAATACAACTAGCTAGAGGACAACGCGGCCACTAGAGGATGCAGATGCGGCCTGCAGTGTAAGTTGCAGTGCTACCTTTTTAGTAAAAGCATTATTCTATTAATAGATTTAAGTAACACAATCTACACTTAAATTCTTTATAAATAATAAAGCATAGACTTAACTAGATTTATTTTACTCTACACGCTAGTGTTATAGCTTTTCTTTATAACAAACTAAACATATGTTTATAGACACTACTATGCCTAAAAGTATGTTATAAAGTGCTTTAGTATTAGTTCTAAAATATTTTTAACTAGATATAAATAAAACATGCTTACACATTTTATTAACTATAAAATTTACTTTAATAGTATACTTAATTCTATAGTATTGTAACAGCTCCTATTGCAAGCACGTCCTTATATACATAGATAAAAGCAGAGGTCCTTAACACATAGAGTTACTATAGTGTCTCTTTACCTAAATTCTAGCCTACTTATTAAGAGTAATAAGTATAAAGGCAGAGAGTGTGCTTATCTTTAAAGTAGAAACTACACTTAAAGGCTCTAGCAGTAGCGTAGCTAGTAGAAGAAGTATAATATTACACTTTAAATAGTAGGAACTTAGTATAACAATAGATCTGTTTTTTAAAAGGACATTATACTCCCCTAGTTAAGACAGAATACCTTTATAGTAATATAAACTATTAGCTATATTAATCTAGTAATTGCCTATGTTTGCCTAGGCCTGCATATTAGACTTTGTTTAATATCTAGCAGGAGGCTAGTCTAACCTAGCAGTTTCTTAGCTAGACTTTTGTAAGCAGACACTATTTGCGTTGCTAGTATTACCTAGCATAAAGCTTTAGGCTAATTAACTATGTACTTTTACTTAATTAACTAGTAACTAATTCTATGCTATTTTTCTTTTTAAAGGCTGTCTATCTTATTTAGGGCAGAGTAGTAAAACGCCTAGTTTATATAAACTCTTAGAGTTAAACAACTAATATAGTAGAAATATATACATAGTACTTAATTAACTAGGTGTGCGTCTACTGCGCCTAGCACACTACTAGAGATCTAAGAGGCTCTTTATAATTAAAAACTTTTAGCATATAATGCAGTTAACATTAAAGATATTAACACTTATGCTTAGTAAAGTAGTAGCTACTATAATTTAGATACAGGATGTTAGCTTTTTAAACTTAAAATAATGCTTGTTCTAGTTATATTTTTATATATTTATAGTAAATGTCTCTACTATGTTGTACACACACTGTAGACTATTATTAATATTAGTTGTATACTAATTATAAGGTTCTAGTCTTTCTGTTAAATAAAGAAGCATTAAGTAAAACTACACTGCAGCTAACTAAATAGATATACACTTATTAATAAATATAACTATTTTAAGAATCTCTTTAGAATTAGCACACCTACTTAAGACACTTTTTTTTAAAAGGAAATAAAGACTATTCTATAAGTTAACTTTACCTTATAGTAAAAGAACTACTAAAATAGTAACATTAGGGTAATTAACTAATATGCAGATAACCTTAGTCTAGTACATACAGCAGCCTAGCAGACAGAAACTAGCGTAGCGTAAGACTGCATCCTCTGCAGTACTGTCTAATGTAGTAGAGCAGGTAAACTAGACAACATCTTTTTAAAGTATAACTTACAGTTAACTTAGTATTATAAACATAAGTTAAAACTTTTTTTAGTTTAATATAAAATAACATTTGTTAATAGCTACTAATTTAATTTAAGACTATAACTTTAGATTTTTTAAAATGTCCTAAAAAGCTTTACTAGAAGCCTACTCTAGCCTTATAAGTAGATAAGTAAATTCTTTATTAATAATTTAAGTAAATAGTTCTTACTAACTAGCTCTACTTTATATATTAATAATGCATAGCTTAGATCTTTTTAGTTGTTATATGTTATCTAGCTGCTTATTTTTAAGCTTATTTAGCAGAATAATCTAAATAGTAATTTTAGCAGTTAACACTAAATAAGCGTAAAAAATTATGCTTTTACTAAAACTAGTCTAGGCAATTAAAAGAGTATCCCTATAGTTAAATATTAGTTGCCTTAAAGTACAGACTTGCTTATTATGTAGTAATAAGCTACTATTATTAGCGCCTATTATCCTTTCTTTACAGAGGATCTGTGTAAGACACGCGCAGAGAACATCCTTTTAGAATTTAACATTATAGACATTCTTAGCTGCTAAGATAAGGCTAAAAAAATCCTTTAACTTTATAAATAAAATAAGATTAATCTAAAGCTAAAAGTTTAAAAGAATAGGGCTCTAACCTATTGCATTTAAAGCATTTTAATGTCTCTACTCCTTCCTACTTCTTTACTATTTTAAACGCCTATCTTCTTTTTTCTTAACTTTTTTTTTTACTATACTTTAGAAGTTTCTAGAAGTCTTTAAAAGTCTCTAGAAGTTCTTAGAAGTTTCTAGAAGTTCCTAGAAGTTCCTTAGAAGCGTAGGATCTCTAACACTCTTCTTATTAACTAAGTTATATAATGTAGTAGGTTAAGCGTAGGTGTACTAATAACTGTAACTGCACACCTACGCCTGTTTACACTAAAGTTTTAATCACAGGAGGCAATAGAGAAGGCATGTGTGCCTTAGCTCCTGCAGTTATAGAGGGATACAACGCGTAGTGTTAACAGGAGTAATAGGATAAGAATAAATAGTTAATAGCTAGAACACATAACATGTTAAAAACATATTTAATAATGTACTTTACCTTTTAAATAGTGTTAGATACGTTTTAAAATGTGCCTATTATAGAAATAAATACCTTTATTTTTAATTACATTAAACATTTTAATAGATACTAATGCTAGTGTAGTGCTATTATATAATTTAATAGATTTATAAACTAAGATACATATAAACTTGCTTTATTTCTTCTTAGACGCTCTGCAGATAATTTTATGCGTTATTAGTAATTAGCCTCTAATTAGCCTAGAAGACTCTAGAAGTTTTAATTAGCTTAGAAGTTTTAGAAGTTTTGTCTAATCTAAAATAGTATTAGCGCAAAATCATCTGTGGGGCGGCTGACTTGTGAGATAAGCATTTGGGTCATTTTCCGAGCCGAGGTCACGTGTGGTATGGACGGAAAAACAGTGTTAGATGGGGAATTATTACGCCAAGCAGTGGTGTAGCGGTCATTTGCCGATTTTAGCTCACCGGCCTGGTGGCTGTGCTTATAGGAGCTAGGCTCGCCCCCACAAACACGACCAAAACAGCCGCGTAAGCTGCTGTCGATGCAAGCACATCCTTTCCGCTAGCATCTCTAGCCTGAACCGCAACGATAATGGCAAAAAGCACTGTCGCCACTGACGCCGTAACCAAATCCACTACAAGCCCTGGGTGTAAAGCCATTATTAGCATTGGCGTAATGATCGCCACGCCTCCAAACAGTGCCATGACCAATCGTGAAGTATATGCCTTCCGACGCTCTTGCTCCACCCGTCTTTTCCTATCGAGCGCGCGACATCCCAGGCGACCGATCTCCTTAAGCTGACCGCCCTCATCGCTGACGGTAGCATTGGGGTTCCGCCAAATTTCCCATCTGGACCCTTCCCGGCGTACTACTTTGAATCGCCCATCTCTACCAAGGAAGTCGTAGTTGACATTCTCGTTGTCGAGGACTATATCTTGGGATAACGTTTCATAGTTCCGGATCGCATCCGCTACGATGGAGTGAGCCTAATACGGGGAATAGAACTATGTTTACTTCTAATTTATATTGGCTCCTCACTTACCATACTTCTGTAATAACACATCGATCTTTCCCCCCTCAATTTCAGGGAACTTTTCCCCTTTTTGCATCACGCTCCTCTGTTGCTCTAGTAGCTGAGCCTGCAGCGCGGCGATCCGGTAAAGTTGTAACGCACGGAAACTTAGAATAGCTAGTTTTCCTACGTCGTGTCCACCAATTGACTTGATATGTTCGAGCGGCTCAACCGATCGATTTACGGCTTGCTTGCCGTCCTTTTTTGGGGTTGCTTTGCCCGGTTCAACATCCTGAGGTGGAGAATTGTTACGTTCGGCCCGGAAGTATTGAAATATTTGTCTCATCTCTCTGACCTAACACAATATCAGTAGACTTCAGAGCAAAACATAGAGTAACTAACGGACATTTAGGAACATATACAGGTGAGACACAGTTCTAGAGTTCGCTAGCGACGATTGACGTGGCCATTGAGAAAAAGCGGGGTAGAGGGTATCGACACCAAAAGTGGAGATCCGAGCTGTAAGCCAATAAGCGTAGGTTTTTGTACACAGTAAGCTCAGTCGCACAGCTCTCATCGAATCATCACGATATCCATCACCCGCCTTAATAGAACACTTCCGGAAGGTATTGAGCATGCGTCGTTCTACTTCATGAGCCTTGCAACGTTACATGTCGGCTTTTATTAGCATAAAGCGAGTGTCCCCTCACGTTCCATGGCGTTTTCTTAGGTGACAAGTTTTTTGTCAATGCTTTTCTAATGCTTTAAAATAAGTACAAAATGTGATTTTTCTGGAAGGTATATATCCAATTCTTCAAGTCACTACTGTTTGGCTTCTGCTAGCCGCTTCTAGTACAAGTGATTTGGAAGAGTATGGTCACGTAGCACTACGCAAGTTGAAACAACCTGCAGTTGCTGTGCGCATCCGGTACGTTCAAGGTATCCAATCATTTTGGGAGTAAATTAGATTACTGTACGCTTTCTCTCGCTTCGGAGTTGTTACAGGGCCTTCTCATGAGCGGGTTGTTAGCGTCACCCAGACCATGGCCCCACCGGGCTTCTAACTAAGAAATGTAATTTTCTATAGAGATTATATACAAAAAGTCATTAAATAGTTATCTACCACTTAGTATGCCCTCCACCTGCCTGGATAACTGCCTCGCAGCGCTCTTGCATAGATTAAATATACTTCTTATAGTTGTTAATTTTAATCTTCTCCTACTCCTCCTTTAGAAACTGCTGTACATTGTTATTAGTCTTTAGGAAACGCTTCCCTAGCCTATACTTTAGCATCTACTAAACATTCTTAATTAGATTAAGGTCTAGTAAGTTAGTAAGCTACTAGTTCTTATAAACTCCTTAAGCTTTATAGGCCTCTATAGTAGCCTTTAATTTATGTATAAAGCTGTTGTCTTCTATAAAGATAAGCTCTCTACTAGTCTAAGTTTTATAGGCTTGCTAGTAGGCTGTAATTAGAGGCAGAATATGTTAAATATAGACCTCTAAGTTAACAGTGCCCTTAGCATTTGTACACTAGCTGTCCATAAAGAACACTAGAGGTCCTTTAGTATTAGTTAAGATAATACTCTACACTATATAGCTACTATATTTCTTAAACTTAGAAATGTAGCAGTTAGGTAGGAAGCGCTCCTTAGCTCTATAAGTAACCTAAATCTTTTCTAGGCCTACTCTAGCTAATGTAAAGATGGGATGGTAAGTAGCACGGATAGCACTGAGAGCACGCTTTCGGAGAAAGATAGGAGTGTATCGTAAAAGAGACGAATCGCTGCTAAGCTTCGCTTGTTAGGATTCATGCTTATATACAAAGCACAGGTCATACGACCTCCAAACAGGTTAGGTGAGGCCATACTAGCCTGTTCTAGGACATCTGGCCTTACATTATCCCCTCTTATAGTAGTCCTACAACTTAGAGGATAGAATAGATAATAATAGGCCTAAGTAGCATAAAAAAGTATTATATAATGCTTTAAAATCTTGCTCCTACTTATTTTAGTTAATTTTATGTAAGTTTATTTAAAGATAACCTAGAGTTATTATGTAAAAGTAAAGTAAAAGTATAAAGTAAAAGTAAAAGTAAAGTAGCAGTATATCTTACGCTAGTAGAGTAGCAGTTAGGACAGTATATATAGGGTCTAACTATTCTAGAAGTCTATCTCCTTTACACTTCTGCTCTCTCTACAGGTTAGAATTTAGAAGATTTTAAACTTTTTAAGGTAAGTATATTTTAAGCTACTCTAGTGTAATCTAGCGCAAAGGGGTGCTAACAAGCTTTAATAGTCTTATTCTACCTTACTTACACTTACTTATTACTTAATTTACTTTTAGCTTTTTCTTTTATACTTTGTGACGGCGTGTACCGCCTCACATGCTCTGCGGCATCAGCTCCCTCGCTTGCGCAACGAGTAGCACGCTAGTGCTACAAGTAGCGCCTTGGCAGGGGGCACACATGTATATTTAAACTCGCAGAGCAGCTCCTCTGCTCCTTAGTTTAATCTAGTTGAGTTACACCACCTCTTGCTTGTAGCTTGAGCATGCCGACCGTGACATTAGATTAAACTCCTCAAGTGACATGAAAGCTTGAGTATCACGCACACGCATACGCACACGCATACGCACACGCCTAAGTTTTTTTTGTCATTACACACGCACACGACTCCGGGTCGACAGACGCCGACATACCCCGTCAAGTCGACGGTGGAGACAGTGCGCGACCCCTCTTCTGATCTTGGAGGGTAAGATCAGTTAGAGTATGCTCATACCCTCACTATGCACACGACACAGCTAGAGATAGGTTAGCTCGGTTGCTACGCTCTAGCTTGTACGCACATGTTTCTTTTTTGTCTCTCTTTACGACCGACCTCCCCGCACCTCTCGCGTCGTCCGACCCCCACGATGCCGACAACCAGCTGCTCCGCCAGCAGGTGGTCAGCCTCTGGCCGGTAACCGAGACATGCGCATAGGCGCCTCTGAGCTGCGGGTAGGTCATGTGACGCCTGGGACATGCGTCTGCTAAGAAGGGGGATAATGTAAGGCCGGGATGGCGCTTACGTGTAAGGCCGAGATGGTGCTTACGTGCGACGGGTATATATACTATTCTGTACGCAATAATTAACTGTTGGTTAATTATTCGCACCTTTTTGGTTGTATTGGCGTAGTGGTACAGAGCTCCGTCCTTACAAGTAGCTGTTATATGCTCTTAGATAATAAGTTATATTATAGCATAAAAAAAAAATTAGGTACACTAAGTATGCTTATTACTTTAAATTTAGTAAAAAGTGCTTTAAAGTATATATTTTAGCTTTTTCTAGCATATTTACGCGTAGTTTGTCTAGTCTAACCCTAGATAGCTCTCTGTTACTTTTAAACCTAAATAACAGGCTTTTAAGGACACTATGCTTAATAGTTTAGCCCTTATTAATCTACTTAACCTTGCTTAGTTAGCACAGGCTAATATAATAGTTATATTATAAGTAAACACTATTATTTAGTTTTTTTAAGTATAAGTTTTTCTATTATAGCATAATCTAGCTTAATTAGCCTTGTTCTAGCTCTTTATAGTTTATAGTAAAAACAAAATCCTATACAACAACTATCTATACGCGCATAGTAGCGTTATAGGTAAAATTACTAAGACTAGAGTTATTTTTAAGAAGCACACCTGCTGTAAAGCTAATATTACTAAGAAAGAGAAAAAAAAGCATAAAGCGCTTAAAAAAAACTTTAATAAAAATAAAGCTATAATAACTTTATTTAAAAAAGTAAGTGTGCGCTATTCTTAACTATTCTAGCGCTAACTAGCATAATAGAAAAAATATAGTGTTAAAAGTGTCTATGTTACTAAAGCTAAGCAATGTTATTATATTAATGCTATTAAAGCTACTAATGTAATCTGCTTTATATTTTTAAAAAGCATAATAAGGCTAATAATATTAAAAATAAGGCTAGTTAGGATTAAACTTTAGCTAAAAAAAAGTAGCTAACTAAGTATAATAAAAAATATTTTAATAGTTGTTTTGCTATTATAAATTTACGTACAGAGGATCTTTATGTCTAATTTAGGGCCCTAATAGCACAATCTAGTGCAATCTAGCGCATCCTATAGTAAAAATAGTTAAAAGTGTATAGTATAGTGTAGTTTTAAGTTTTTTAGCTTAAGCTTCTTTTTTTTTTTTTAATAAAGTTAAATACTCTTATATTATATCTTTTAAACTTAAAGTATAACTATTTTAGTAGTAATAAATTAATCTACTTTTAGCTTACTTACTTTATAGCTTTTTTATTTTAAAAATCTTAGAATGTTTTACTAGACTTAAACTCTACCTTTTTTTTACTAGTATAGGTTATTCTAGGCTAGAATGTTTATTTTTTCTATATAATAGATTTTTTAAAGTTAGAATAACCCTTTTCTTAACTCTAGCAAGCTATTTTGTGCTAGAATAGCTTTACTTAGTCTAAATAAAAAATTTTAGGTTTAAATAAGCTATTTTATCTTTTTATTTTTATAGCGCTATTAAACACCTCTTATTAAAAAAACCTTAAGTAAAGAAAAAATAAAGTAAAAGTAGCTATACTTAATTTATTAAGTTACTTTTTTTTTTAAGAAGTTTAACTTAAACTAGCATAATTTAATTTTTTACTATATATTTCTTTACTTTTTTAAAACGCTTTTAATGTGTTTAAGCTAATATTAGGTTTAAGTTTTTATAAGTTTTTTTTAAATATATAACTTTTGTATTTTATAAAATATTTTTATACTCTAACTAAATTTTATCTCTAGTTAAGTATTTTTTTTATATAGTACACATTATTTTTTATAGCGTGTAGAGTGTTAATAATTAGTTCTAATTATAACTTAAGACGCTCTTTCTAGGTATATAGCTCTAAAAGTAAGACATAGAATACTAGATAAACTTCTTTTAGATTAAGTAAGTCTACTTTATACACCTTTATACTAATCTAGCTTATAACTTTTTTTAGTTTTAAAAACTTTTAGTCTAACTTTTTTTTTAGCCTTATTAATTTTATATGTTTATTAGAGACTAATACCTTATTTTTTACTTATAGCTATATATGCTTTTATTATTTATCTACATACTTTTTTTAATACATATTTATAGTAATAATTTTCTAGCAGCATTCTAACTGTAAAGTAAGTGCTTTTGCAGCAACTCTGTTTGCTATGTGCAATTCCCTCTAACCTAGGGGTTCTGTAAAGCTATGTAAGGCACTAGAGACATAAGGAACTGCATTCTATGTATTGCTTAAGGATTCCTTTGCAGGAGTCTATATATATATGAAATAAGTGGGTGAGTCGTGGCAACAGACTGTGCTAAGATGCATACGACTTTGGTGCCGACGCATGATCATCGTGTGACGACACATCCGAC